TTTTGCTGTAGCCCAATGCTGCTGCTTTGGTTCTGCTAGGTGTTGTGATAGTTTACTAACAACCCAGCTCAGGTCAGGTCTGGTACATGTCATAATGTATATTAAGCTACCTACTATCTCTCTATATCCTGTTGAGTCAATAACTTCACCCTCACTGTCAAAGTTTAACCTTTGCTCACATGGGGTGGATCTTGGTTTGCATGCGGACATTCCAAATTTCGCTAACATCTTCTCTATGTGTCTCTTTTGAGTCATTTTGACCTCTCCCTCACTCTGTCTAAAGTCGATGCCCAGGAAATGTTTAAGTGCACCCATATCTTTCATCTTAAACCTTCTCTTCAACATTTCTTTTGCCTCACTGAGTAAGGTGTTGTTACTCGCCGCTATGATTAAGTCATCTACCCATACTAACAGAATCACTTTTTCTTTGTCAGATTCTCTGCTGTAGACACAATGATCAGCATCATTTTGTACAAAACCATTCTCTGTAAGGTGATCATGCAGTAACATGTTCCAGTTGCGCCCGGACTGTTTTAAACCATACAATGACTTGTTGAGTTTACACACTAAGTGTTCTCCTGTTTTTGACTTGATCTCAAAACCTTCCGGTTGCTCCATATATACCTCACAGTCCATAGGAGCATGGAGGTAAGCAGTCTTTACATCCATTTGGTGTAGGGTAAGATCCTCTTGTACAGCCACCTGCATCAATGCTTGGACAGAGGTCATGTTGGCTGTCGGTGAAAAAGTCTCTTTATAGTCAATCCCTTCCACTTGACCATACCCCTTTGCAACGTATCTGGCTTTACAAGTCTCAGATCCATCTGTGCTCTCTTTCACTGCATATACCCAGCGACCTCCCACTGCTTGTTTGCCTGTTGGCAGTGGGGTAGAGTGAAAGTCTCATTCTCTGTCAAAGAGTTCATCTCCTCTTTCATCGCATCAGTCCATAGCCTCTCTAAATGTTTTAGGTACACCATAAGCCACTCTGTAGAAATAATCTACATTTTCACTTTCGTCACTATTACACTCAGCTTTACACTGGTACTCCTTTAAGTACTCTGGAGCTTTTCTCTGTCTCGTAGGATACTTCCTTTCTTCTTGTTCTCTCTGAGTACTATCTGTCTGGGTCAGACCTGCCTCATCAGTCTTCTCAACACTGGACTCTTTACTTTCCTTAGGCTGTCCCTGACCCTGGTTGATTACCTTCGGTGGTGTATCTCCATAACTCTCAATGTCGTCACTCACGTCACAATCTGTCTGAGTCTGGCTATCTGCGCTACCTTTGGTGATGAATTTCACCAGCCTATGTTTTAGGACTTTTCCTGTCTCAGGATAATACACGTTATATGCTGGACTATATTTATCATAGCCTACAAAGATCCCCTTTTTACACCTAGGATCCAGCTTCTTCTTATCCTGCTGATATATGTAGCATTCAGAGCCAAATATCTTCATGTTAGATAGGTTAGGTGTTTTTCCTGTGAAAACACGGTAAGGTGTCTGCTCCAGCCGCTTACTGTAACACCTGTTGCGGATTTGAGCTGCTGTCTGTACAGCATATGTCCATAATTGCTTTGAGAGGTTACTCTCCAAAAGCATGCATCGTGACATCTCAAATAAGGTTCTCCACCCTCTTTCGGCAGTTCCGTTCTGATGAGGTGAGTAGGGTGCACTGGTCTCGTGCCTTATCCCATTACTCCTAAGTAAAAACTGGAACTCCTGTCCGGTAAACTCTGTCCCGTTATCAGACCTTATGCACTTAATCTTTCCATATGGAGCTACGTCTGCTATGAATTTTTCTGTAGCTTTTGTCGTGTCACTCTTTAATAAAGTATGGAAAAATCATCCCACTGTAATCATCAGTAAATGCTATCGCATCCAATCCAATCCAATCCAGTCCAACTTTATTTGTTAAGCACTTTAAAAACAACCAAAGTTGACCAAAGTGCTGATACCTGTATCCATCTTTATCTGCTGGTTCTATAGGACCGCATACGTCTGTGTGCACTAGCTCTAGTACAGTTGTAGCTTTAGCGTCTGCTTGTCTTTTTCTGCTTTGTGTAAACTTGCCCTGTGTGCATATTTCACACTTTTGATTGGACTTATCATGTTTACCTTTTATAGACATCCCTTCAACCACCTTCTCTAATTTTGCAACATCATCAAAATTACAATGGCCAAGTATTCTATGCCACGTTTGAATGTCATGACAACCATACACTTCATCAACATTTTCATTTTCTACTGTGCTAAGGTAATACAGCCTACCATACACATCCATTTTGAACTTGGTACCATCCTTGTGGAACAGCCAGTTATCACCGTCCTTGAAGTGGACCTCGGCTCCGTTGGCTGTCGCTGCTTTGACTGAAAAGATGTTTTGTGGAAACAATGGGATGTAGAGTGCTTGCTTGAGCCTCGTTTTCACTTGTTGTCCCTCGCTGTCCAGCAAGTAGACTTCGGCGTCTCCCCTCATCTTCGCCATCCCGCTCACCTTAGTCCCGTCGGCAAGCTCGACCATGTGGTCCAAGGGTCTGAAGCTCTTGTCCACTGTTTTGAACTTTGTGGCGTCGTTGATCATGTGTGTTGTGGCGCCACAGTCGACCATTAGACCCTTTTTGTTTCCTCTTTGTGTAGGACAGTCACTCGCGTTAAAGAAGCAGAAAGATGTAGGCTCTGCAACCGTCTCTCCGTCAGCTTTCTTCACATGGTCACGGCCTCGTCCTCGACCGCGTCCCCTTCCTCGCTGTGGTTTGTCCCATTTTCGTTCCTCTCTTCTCGCCTGGGATTCGTCAGGACATGTTCTGGCCATGTGACCCTTTTTACCGCAGGTGTAACACTCGACATCAGCCAGATTAATTTTCTTTCCTCTCCCTCCTCCACAAGACCACGTTACCCCGCTAGTCTTCATCACGTTGTCTTCTTCTACATTCACGTCACTCTTTCCATATTTTTCAGTACTCTCATAACTTCGCAGTTTTGTTTTAAACTCACCGAGCGTTACAATGTCATTTGTCTGGGTGATGTGCATGACGAATGGCTTGTATGAATCAGGTAGCCCCTTTACTACCATGGCTATTTGAAGCCCATCACTAATATGCTCGTCTGCTCTTCTCAATGACGTGAATATAGTCTCTGCTTGAATAATATAGTCAGTGATTGTTTCATTGCCAGCCTTATGGAGCGAGGAAAGTTCACAATACAAACTCACAACGCGGGGTTTGTCCTTTCCGGCATAGTGCTCGCGAAGAATCTCCAGTGCTCTTCTTCCATTACGTTTAACGTCCCTCATTACCAATGACAAACTCTTGTTGTCCAGACATTGCACTAGCTCTGCATATGCCTCTCCGTCTTCCTCATCTATCTGCGGCTCCTCCAAGATAACTTCTCTGAGGCCGCGCAACTCCATATGCGCGAGGAACCTCGTTTCCCAGAGTTCATAATTTTTCTCGTCACCGTCAAATAAAAGTTTGAACCACCTTTGGCCTGCATGACTGGGCCCATAACCTGTAGCGTTAGTCATTTCTGCAGCAGTCTATCGTTATCACAGTCACCAAAGTGATTAGCTAGCACCTGCTAGTGGCTAATATTCACGGGAGAAAAAGGACAGACCGCCATCGTCTCTTTGGTCTGAACTCACACTGACCGTTTATTCTGCGCATGCTCACAATAGCATCCTTGTGCGCGCAGGCACATGACATCACTGCTTAGGCTATTTAACATGGCTTTGCTACTCATAAAATATGCTTAACACTAACGTTAGCTAATATTAAGTTACCTGTTACATCAGTTAGTTAGCAGTTAGCTAACCTAACAGTCTGACAACTTACAGTCTAAATTATGGATTTGAACACAAACATTACCTCAGGTTATTAACTTATAACAGGGCAATGTTTTATAAGTATAACAGTTATAAGGTGAAGTTCATGTTAGGAGAGCAAACAGATCGTGACTCTTCCACGGTGTCCATATTCACGTTTTTGTTGTTTTGTTCTCCGTTGAAATCCCACAACTCAAATTCACTCAAATAATAATTTGGCGTGCAGATGTAAAATAATCCAGATAATGATCCACATAATTCATTATAGTGGACCTACAGAGTAGCTCTGAAGTCCTGCAGCATTCAAACTGACGTACTTTCAAATGAAGGCGCGCTCAGTGCTCATTGGCCAGTTTCCTGGATGACAGCCACATTGACCAATCAGACTCAAAGCAACATGGTGAGACAGCCAATAGCAATTGTTTCAGAGGGATAACTCACAGAAAGATGACTTCAGAATCAAAATCATAAATCAAATATTTTAGTGACCCCAAAATTGGGAAATACCTTTGTATTATTCATAATAATAATAATAATAATAATAATAATAATAATAATAATAGCAGCATCAGTTAAGTCCACACTAAATCACATATAGCAAAAAGTTTCTGCTGCACTGTTTTCTTCATGTTGGATTTTTTATTTTTTTTAATTTACAAATTACAGTGGGTAAAATCTTAATTCATTGTAAAACTGTGCACAGAGCTTTGATGTCTCTCTCTGTCTCTCCATCTCTTTCTGTCTGTCTCTCTGTCTCTGCCTCTTTCTCTCTTGAATGTAAAACCACAACTAATGAGATTAACCTTAAAATTGCAGAAAAAAATCTTAGTTGTCAGTATGGAAATAAACCTTTATATAACGAGCAAAACATTTAATAACGGTCAAATATCGTAATTATTATAGTAATTTTCTGTAAAAAAAAATGGGAAATAACTGTAGTTTGTCATTATTGGCATAACACATAAAAAAACAGACGGGTTGTTAATTTACAGATAATGTCTGTAATTTTACTGGTTTTTTTACACTTAAAAAAAACGGAAAAACTACTGTAAAAATTTACTGTAAAATTAGGATTTTTTTTTAGAGTGCATCTTAACAAACAAAGACAAGGTAAAGGATAAAGACATGATGGCTTCTAGCTAGGGCTGATTCAATATATCCAATATTAATGTTTGCTGTAATTATTATTATGGAACTATAAAATGTCCTCCATGTTCCCAGAATAAAGACTAAATCTTCAGGTGATCCAGCTTCTTTCTACTGTGACCTGCCTTGGTCTCACAATGGTGTGAAGAACTGAAACTGGACATTCAGCAAACATTTCTCTGAGGCAGAAACAATGTCATTGGTTACATTAAACTTTGGTAGGCAGAGAATCTGTAAAAAGGATTTTCTCTGGCCCCTCCCACTGACATTGAACTCAACCAATGAGATTGTTTCTGTCTCCAGAGCAGAAATGTTTGAGGAACTAAAAGCACAATCAGCTTGATGTTGAGGAGAAGGGCTGTGCAGCAGAGAGGCTCTTTAGTTTTTTCATTCTACTGCAGTGGAAGAACATTGCTCATCTGCTGTCAGTTTGACTTTAACAACTCCAAAGACATGTTGCTTTACCTCTTTTTACTTTTCTCTCACTTTATAGGTGAGTGTTAGAACAGAGATCAAAGTCTCATTTAACCTGCTGTGTTAACCAGATATTTGGTACTAGAGCTTTATCTGTGTAAGGTTACAATTTCCATGGTAGAAAAATACATTTGGTTTATTAAATGTATCTAAAATTGATCAAAGATGATCATTTCTGTTGAGTCTGTTGATGTCAGAATGTCTTGCAGACTAACTGACATGAATAATACTCATTTTGCAGCCCTGGGTTCCATGAACATCATAAAGCCAGACAGTACTGAAGAACATGTTGCAGAGGGAAGAAACATCAACCTGACCTGTAAATATGACGGTGCCATCTTCAGCATTCAATGGTACCGACAATACCAGAGATCCAGACCAGAGTTCCTGCTCTACATCACAGAGGAAGGATTGATTCATCCAACTGATTCTGATTTCAAAGCTCACATTAACAAAACCGAGAAACGTGTACATCTGGAGATCATCTCAGCTAAAGTGACAGACTCTGCTGTGTACTACTGTGCTCTGCAGCCCACAGTGACAGGAAACACCAAAACTCTGTACAAAAACCTTTGGAGCAAAGACAACAGAATACTCCACAACATCCACTAGAGGGAGTCACACACTGTTAAGCAGTAAAGATACAGCACAAAATAAGGGAAATGTTATACATAAAGTCACTTTAACATGTGTGTAACATTTCACATTTCATCTCTCCAGTGATGTTACACATACTAATGTAATATTTGACGCTGAGCTTCCTTTTTCATTGACGGACTAAAGTTGTACTGTGATGATGATTTTATTTTTAAAAATTCTTACATTTACAAACCCTGAAAAAGGTGATCCATCCTTTAAATCACTAATTTAAATCCAGTAAAAAAAGAATCATTAACAGAAAACTTCCCACCTCCAGCTTTTGGAAAATGCTGCTACCAGTCTGTTAACCAGGAGGAAGAAAATACAGATCTAAGAGGAGAGGGAGAGATTCAGGGAGGAGCTAAGCTGTTACTGAACTATAGAAGAGAGAGGAACTTCCATATTCAGCAGAGTTCAATACACAAACCAGAAACATTACCTTTATCCAACATGCTGTCACTGCATCATTGTGTGTTTTCTCTACTGTTTCTGTACTTTATAACAGGTATATTACATGCATCAAGATGGAGTCTTAGTGTTTGCAACTGTTACAACATTGTATAACAGAGTTATCTCTTCCTTTAGGTGTCAGCTGTGAAGAACTCACTCCAAGAAACAAGAGTTTAGTTTCAAAGACAGCACTGTTACTCTGTCCTACAATTATTACAAAGGTAATGATGATTATTTTTTCTGGTATCGACAATATCCAGGAAAACCACCAGAGTTCCTCATCTCTCATCTGAAATCAGGAGAAATCTTTGCAAAACCAGTCTCTGGAATGTCTGTTACAGTGAGTGAGGATAAAACCCAAATGGATCTGCAGATCTCCTCTGCTGCAGTGACAGACTCTGCTCTGTACTACTGTGCTGTGAGGCCCACAGTGACAGGAAACACCAAAACTCTGTACAAAAACCTTTGGAGCAAAGACAACAGAATACTCCACAACACCCTCTAGAGGGAGTCACACACTGTCAAACTACAGTGGTATGTGACTGAGATGTAAAGCTTTAGAAATTAAACTACTGACACTGAAATAGAAAGGATTATACCTTTCAGATATAATAAAGCACAATTCTGAATGAAGTAGTGAAGCAGTAAAGATAAAGCACAAAATAAGTGAAATGTTATACATAAAGTCACTTTAACATGTGTGTAACATTTCATAAAATTATATCAACAATTATTGTTACATAGGCAAGTGCTGTAGATACAGGTCATAGGTCTGTACTCTCTTTGTGATTCATATAATACTAACAATCATGATATTATTAACTTCATTTATTTTAGTTTGAGTGAGTCCAATAATTTGACACTAAACGTCTTTCAGAGACAGGTTATAAAGATTTGATTGAGTACATTTGACAATACTAAGTTACAGAGGACAGGGCAGATACAGGACAGAGGCCATGTTTAACAATTAGGACCTCTCTCATTTTTATTATCTTGCTTCTTCTCTCAGGTCTTGCAGGTTGATCAGTAACTGAGTGGTTTGAGTTCATGACTCAAGATGATGCACTCGGTGCTTGGTCAAAGGTTTGTATCCTGACCATGGAAAGCTTTAAGAAAAATGTCTTAAACTTTCGGAGCTAGTTTGACATTAGGTCTACAATATGTTCCAGATCTTTTCTAAATTATTAATTGTATTCAGCTGTTATGCACACTCAAACATATTTTAAACCCATCTTAAATTTTGATTGTTTTGTTATATATTCCAGTTAATCCAGTAATTATGGTAGCAGTTTTATTATTTGTATTATTATTAATAATAATTATTAAAAACTAAAGATTTAACTCAGGACGTTCACGTGCTGTAAAGTGTCAATCAGTGTGACCTTATCAGCTACTTGTTACCTGATGGAAATGATGTCATTTAGTGAATAACAGCAGCACAGCAGTGACAAACACACTATTTGTCAGAGTTGTGAGAGGAAGGAGGGAGGGATTAAGGGAGGAGCAAAACTGAGACTCAAGTACAGAAAAGACAGAAACTTTCACAGTGGTGTTTCATCCAAAAAACAGACAGATTGTCTTTATCTTTAAGATGCTGTCAGTGAACTTCAGTCTGTTTGTGACTTTGTTTCTGCTCACAATAAGAGGTAGGTGAGATCATTAACATTAAAAGAGCTTCATTGATAAAAACCTTTAGATCATAAAGTTACAGAGTTATCTCTTCCTTTAGGTGTCAGCTGTGAAGAACTCACTGCAGTCAAGAAACAAGAGTCCAGTTTAGAAGACAGCACTGTTACTCTGTCCTACACATACTCCAGAAAAGCAACTGGTCAAGATCAATTTTACTGGTATCGACAATATCCAGGAAAACCACCAGAGTTCCTCATCTCTCACTCAGGAACAGGAACATTAATGTCTAACCCAGTCTCTAGACTGTCAGTTACAGTGAGTGAGGATAAAACCCAAATGGATCTGCAGATCTCCTCTGCTGCAGTGACAGACTCTGCTCTGTACTACTGTGCTGTGAGGCCCACAGTGACAGCAAACCCACAGTCTCTGTACAAAAACACAAGCTGACACACTGACAAGCTGCTGGAAGCCTTTTTACCTTGCTAGGCAGCGTTAATGATGCAGATGTTGTCTCTTCTATTTCAATCCTCTTGGAGTGCCAAGGTTTCCTCCCAAGACTCTGTGATATCTGTGCTGTGTCTCAGAGGCAGAACGGGTCATATACTAATAGGAAGGTTGTTGGTTCGATCCACGGCTCCTTGCACAACATGTTGGAGTATCCTTGAGCAAAATACTGAACCCCAAATTGCTCCTGATGCTGTGCATCGGTGTGTGAATGTGTATGAATGTGTTAGTTTCAAAGTAGTACATAGCCATCTTGTCCACAGGTCACATGGTGATGCTCATTTTCCCCCTAAAAATGTGAAAACTGGCTTAAATACAATGTTGCCAATGGCATATAGTCTGGATATTACACTGATATGGACCAAATCCATAGTCCTCGTTGTGTACAGAAACATATTCCAAGGAATTTTATATCTAAAATACTTTAAGAGTGAAAGACACCCACTGGATCTTACTGACTAGAACTGCTGCATCCTCATATCAGCTTCAGCTGTGTCATTAGTCTTGTTGGTATTTGGTCATTAACCAAAGTATGGGACTAATTAAATACTGATTAAAGGTCAGAGGATCACCAAAGTTCTTACAATTCATCCTGAGGGGAACATGAATGAACCAAATATAATGACAACCATGAATATCTGGATAAAAGCTCATGACAATCCATTCAGTAGTTTCTGAGATATTTCACTGCTGAATATAAATGAGATGTAAATGTTGAGAGTTCCTCAACAGATGATAAAGAGGAAGGACCAATGATGTGAAGGCCCAGATCCATCAGAGTATCAATGTTCTTCCTCTCTCTCCTCCCCTCTCACTGCAGACATGAAACACTGGCTGAGAAACATCCTGATTCTGACTCTCTGGCTAGGTAACTCTTTAAACCTACTGATTGTTCTCCTTTAATCAATCATCTTTATTGATTCATCTCTTCCTCTGCATGTTCTCTTCTTCCCCAGAGTGTAAAGGAGAAGACAGAGTGACCCAGCCACCAGGAGATGTCTTTGCTACTGAAGGAGAGACAGTTACACTTGAATGTACATTTGAGACCAGTGCCACAAGTCCAACTTTGTTCTGGTACAAACAGGATGGAAACAACAGCCCCAAATTCATACTGAGCCGCATTCAACGAGATGAAGGGAACACAGCAGAGAAGTTCAAGGAGAGATTTTCATCCGCAGTAAATTCCACCTCAAGATCAGTTCCTCTAAAGATCCAGAAGCTTCAGCTGTCTGACTCTGCTGTGTACTACTGTGCTCTGCAGCCCACAGTGACAGGAAACACCAAAACTCTGTACAAAAACCTTTGGAGCAAAGACAACAGAATACTCCACAACATCCACTAGAGGGAGTCACACACTGTTAAACTTCAATGCCATGTGATGATACATTGTTGATTCTGTGTAGTGAATTAAAGATAAAACACAGAATAGAAAATGCTTGCTGTATCATACCATACAAACTCTGATGACAATGAGGTTTTGAGGGACATTATTTATGTAATAATACTTCATCATAATTGAATGTAACAACAAATGCTGATGTAACATTCAAAATTACAGGTTAACTATCATATTGAGCTTCTTAATTGTGACATGTGACAATTTCAAAATAATGAAAACAACATATTTGAATAAAACCTTGAATGTCCAAAGAGGATTGAGATGTAAAACTTTGGCAATGAAACCACTAACAACTTCATCAACCGAAAAAACATTTGACACTTTTTACTGCCATACATTTAATATGACCTAAAATAGGAATGAGGATACGTTTCAGATATAATGAATCACAATATTCCAATTACTTTCCAAAAATTATATATTTGCATGTAATGTATCTGCTTCAACTTCTGAGTTGTATTTACAATTAGACACTAGTGTGCCACAGGGTTCAATCCAAGGTCCTGTCATTTTTTATTTATATGCTGCCTTTAGATAATTTCTTTTTTCAAGATTCAGTGATAAAATAAATAGATATTCAGTTAACAGTGTCATTAGTTCGGCTCTGCAGCCCACAGCAACAGGAAACACCAAAACTCCATAATAGTCCCTGTCCCAAACAAACCACACCCCAGCAGTTCCAATGACTTCAGGCCCATAGCCCTCACATCTGTGGTGATGAAATGTTTTGAAAGATTGATCAAGACATTTATCACCTCTACACTGCCCACCACCCTGGATCCACTACAGTTCGCATACCGGCCGGACAGATCCACAGATGACGCCATAACCTTCCTCCTCCACAAGACCCTTTCCCATGTGGACACTGGTAAGGGAAACTACGTGAGAGTGCTGTTTGTTGACTACAGCTCAGCATTTAATACTATAGTCCCCTCCAGACTGGCCTCCAAACTGTTTGACCTGGGTCTGGACTCCTCCCTGTGCAGGTGGATCTACAGCTTCCTGACCGGCAGACCACAGGTGGTTCGAGTGGGTCGCTACACTTCAGCCCCCCTGACTCTCAACACTGGATCCCCCCCAGGGTTGTGTGCTCAGCCCTCTGCTGTATTCACTGTACACACAGGACTGCGTGGCCACGTCAGACTCCAACATCATCATCAAGTTTGCTGACGACACCGCTGTTGTAGGACTAATCTCCCACGACGATGAGGAGGGAGGTCTCCCACCTGGAGGACTGGTGTTGGGAGAACCACCTCCTGCTGAACGTCAGCAAAACTAAGGAACTGATTGTGGACTTCAGCAGGAAACAGCAGAGGGACTTCCATCCACTCACTATCTGTGGCTCTGAGGTGGAAAGAGTGGACAATTTCAGATACCTGGGAGTGACCATCTCACAGGACCTGTCATGGACTCATCACCTGAACACCATTGTGAAGAAAGCTAGACAGCATCTCTACCTCCTCAGACGCCTCAAAGACTTTTAGCTCCCTCTCAAGGTGCTTAGGAACTTTTACACCTGTACCATCGAGAGCATCTTGTGTGGGAGCATCACCACCTGGATGGGAAACTGCACCAGGCAGGACTTCAAAAGGGTGGTCCATTCTGCAGAGTGGACCATCAGAACCCCTCTCCCCAACCTACAGGACATTTACACCAAACATTGCAGGTTAAGGGCGAAGAAGATCCTCAAACAGCCCAGTCACCCCGGACACGCTTTCGTCTCTCTACTGCCATCAGGTCAGCATTTCCAATGCCTGAGGACAAAGACTGAGAGGCTGAAGAAGAGTTTCTATCCACATGCCATCCGCCTGCTCAACTCTGAGCCTTAACCGGACTTAAAAACCACTGCACCACTGCACTTTACTCACATAGCTGCTTTCAATACTGTAAATGTGTGTGTGTATATATATGAGCTACCCCCCACTAAGTTTTACACTTGGAGTCTACAGTCTACATTTTATATGTTATATTACAGTCTATATTTGATTTGATTTTTTTTTCTTAGTGTTATAAAAATATATATATATTTAGTTATATATTTTCACTTATATTGTTTACCTTGTGTGTTATGTGCAATCACTACTGTTTTACTGTAGTAGTATTTTGTTTTTCTTTACTACTGGCTGCAGGTACAAAGAATGCATTTCACTGTGCATTGTACTATGTATAACTGTGCATGTGACAAATAAAAAACCTCTTAATAAAAAACATCTTAACTCTGTACAAAAAACTGACAGCTCCTCACTGAAGATTTACACATTCAGCTCCTCCTTTTATTGGACAACAGCCCCATCAATTGGACCATGATTGATCCGGTGATAAAATAAATAGATATTCAGTTAACAGTCGGTCTTAAACCCCCCCCCGCTGCACATGAGTCTCCTCCTACTGACTGCAGAGGTGCTTCATGGTAGAACTGTTTGATTCCAGCTGTGATCATCAGACCAAACACAGCTCACAAAACGTATTCATACTGAACCTTCAATTACAGCATTTTACCTCTGTAAACATGGATAAACTCACTGTTATTTTGTTCTTTTCTACTCTCATAGGTATGTATGTGTTTGTCCATGTGTATGGATGTCTCACTTTGGAACAGAACTCTAAATATAACATGTTGTTTCCCTCACTAGGTAACACCTTGGAAGATGATATTACTGCCAGCAGAGCTGAAGTGTTTTCATCAGAGGGCCGTAGTGTCACTCTGTCCTGCAGCTATTCAGTTAAAGCCAATAATCTCCAGTGGTATCGACAGGATCCTGGATCAGCTCCTCAGTACCTTCTCCTGATCACTGACACAACAGAGCCTTCAGTGCTGAAAGCACAACCCCCAAACCCTCGACTGACTCCTAAACTGAATAAGGAGAGAAATCGAGTCGATCTGGAGATCTCCTCTGCTGCAGTGACAGACTCTGCTGTGTACTACTGTGCTCTGCAGCCCACAGTGACAGGAAACACCAAAACTCTGTACAAAAACCAAAGACAACAGAATACTCCACAACATCCACTAGAGGGAGTCACACACTGTTACAATTACAGTGGTATGTGATGATACAGTCTGACAGGACTAGAAATGAAACTACTGACACTTCATTGTAAATTACATTTCATCAAGGTAACCAAGGTAACACTAAAATAGAAAGGATTATACCTTTCAGATATAATAATCTGTCTCCATTCCCTCACAGTCGCAATCTCTGAGTCATCTTTGACAATAACCTTTCCTTTGAACAACACATAAACCAAATCACCAGAACTGCCTTTTTTCACCTCAAAAACATAGCCCGACTCCGCCCATCGCTCTCTTTCTCTGCTGCAGAAACCCTCATCCACGCCTTCATCACCTCCAGAATCGATTACTGCAACAGCATCCTCTACGGCACACCATCCAAAACCTTAAATAAACTCCAGTACATCTAGAACTCTGCTGCTCGTCTGCTCACCCACACCCACACCCGCACCCGTGACCACATCACCCCTGTACTTCAGAACCTCCACTGGCTCCCGGTCCAACAATGTATTCAGTTCAAAATCCTCCTCCTTACACACAAAGCCCTCCATAACCAGGCCCCTTCCTACCTCACTGACCTGCTCCACCGCCACAATCCATCCTGTAGCCTCCGCTCATCCAATGCAAACCTCCTGACTCCACCACCCAGGACCAAGCACCGAACCTGGGGTGACAGAGCCTTCTCTGAAGCTGCCCCCTCCCTCTGGAACTCTCTCCCCAAACACATGCGTGACTGTACCGACCTTCCAAAATTCAAATCTCTGACAAAAACTCACCTTTTTAAAATTGCTTTTAATGTTTAGCTTAGTCTGATGTGTTTTTAGTGTTTTACTATTTGATGTTGTTTTGCTGCTTTTATGTTTTTATGTAAAGTGTCTTTGAGTACTCAGAGAAACGCTTGTGAATAAAAAAAAAATATTATTATTATTAGTTAACTCCTGAGTGAAGTAGTGGAGCAGTAAAGATAAAGTACAAAATAAGGGAAATTTAATTTCACACTGATCATCTTACAGAGACACAGTTTTTGTGTCAATCAGTGTGACCTTATCAGCTACTTGTTACCTGATGGAAATGATGGCATTTAGTGAATAACAGCAGCACAGCAGTGACAAACACACTATTTGTCAGAGTTGTGAGAGGAAGGAGGGAGGGATTAAGGGAGGAGCGAAACTGAGAACCAAGTACAGAAAAGACACAAACTTTCACAGTGGTGTTTCATCCAAAAAACAGACAGATTGTCTTTATCTTTAAGATGCTGTCAGTGAACTTCAGTCTGTTTGTGACTTTGTTTCTGCTCACAATAAGAGGTAGGTGAGATCATTAACATTAAAAGAGCTTCATTGATAAAAACCTTTAGATCATAAAGTTACAGAGTTATCT